GGGGCACTGAGGGGCTGTCTTGGTGCTCGGGCAGGGGGTGTCAGGGGTGTTGGGGGGCTCTCAGAGCATCAGGAGTGGGACGTGTCGTGCAGGGGGTTTCTGGGCACTGTGGCTGCGGGGGCAGGGGACTGTTGGGGTGTCACTGGGTGGGGTCTGCAGGCGGTGTGACCACGGGGGCTGGGAGGAGGGGGTGTCCCGGGGGGGCTGGGGGGGGGGGGGGGGCCACTTGGGGGTGTCCCCACGTGTGTCTGTGCTCTGTGCGAGGGGTTTGTCCCCACAGCCTGTGAGTCACACAGGGGGATCCCTGGCATGTCCCCAACACCCCCCAAAGTTTTCCCAGGGCAGGTCTGACCCTCTTGTGCCCAGCCACCTTCCCTGTGTCCTGGCAGGTCCTGGGGTCCCTGGGGGGGCTGTGCCCCCATGAGGGACATGCTGCTGTGCCAGTCCCCAGAGCAGGCTGGCCCTCTTGTGCCCAGCCACCTTCCCTGTGTCCTGGCACATGGACACACTTTGGGAATCCGTGTGCAGCCCGGGGCAGTCCCTGCACTGAGGGAGGGCAGACCCTGCAGGCAGGATTGTCCTGGCACGTGAGCTGATGCACAGGGAGAGCGTCCCTGTGCCCTCCACGTGTGCCTGTCCCAGTGCCCCCTGTGCCTGCCTGGAAGGGAGAGACTGTCCCCATGTCCTTGGGTGTCTGTGGCTGCCCTCCAGGCACGCAGGTGTACCCCTGGGAATGGGGCATCCCTGTGTCCCTGCAGGATGGGGAGGGTGTGCCCAGCCCTGTCGGTGTATCCAGGTGCTCCACAGTCTCTCGGCTGAGAAAACTGGGATTGTTCAGCCTGGAGAAGAGAAGGCTCCAGGGAGACCTAATTGTGGGCCTCCAGTGCCTGAAGGGAGCTGGAAACAAGGCTGGAGAGGGACTATTTAGAAGGGCCTGGAGTGACAGGACACAGGGAATGGCTTCCCACTGCCAGAGGGCAGGGAGAGATGGGATATTGGGAAGGAATTCCTGGCTGTGAGGATGGGGAGGCCCTGGCCCAGGTTGCCCAGAGAAGCTGTGTCTGCCCCTGGATCCCTGGGAGTGTCCCAGGCCAGGTTGGACGGGGCTTGGAGCACCCTGGGCTGGTGGGAGGTGTCCCTGCCCATGGCAGGGGGTGGGGCTGGATGGGCTCTGAAGTTCCTCCCACCCAAACCAGTCTGGGATTCCATGATTTTGCCATCAGGCAATCCCATCCCTTGTGATCTCCCGGCCTGGGCAGGGCTTTGGGACCCTCCTGCCTGTTCACACTGCTGGGTTGGTGCTTCCTGGCATTGCTACCCAGGCAGGGAGTCCCCAGGAGCCCTGGGAAAGCTGAAGGACCTGCCTGGGAGGCACTGGAAACCAACTGTGTGTGCTTTGAGGGGCCCAGGGCTCGCCATCCACGGTGACCCGAAATCCAACAGCTTTTCATTTAACCCCAGGCCTGGACTCAGCAGTGCTGGGTTGAGGGCTGGGCTCAGTGCTCTGAAAAGTCTCTTCCAGCCTAAACAATCCCAGGGTTCTGTGCCCATCCCTGTGTCACGTGCAGGGCAGGAGCAAGTTCCTACGTGACAGGGCACTGCAGTCACTAATGAGGAGACCTGGGGCAACTCCAGGGAGTTCCCAGGCTCTTGCTGGTTGGGATTCTTGTTCCTGGTGAAACTCTTCATCACAGACAGCCCCTGGGGCTGCTCCGAGCCCTCCTTCTGCCTAACAAAGCGTTTGGGGAGGGCTGCAAAGCAGGCAGGGAGCAGGCAGGAGCCGGGGGAGCTCCAGGGCTGGCTGTACCTGCTGGGCCACATCCGTGTGCCGGCGGGTTCCTGGAGCAAAGGAAGCTCAGTCTGCCGGGAGCTCCCCAGCTCACGGGTCTCAGCTCCCAGGGACAGCCTGGCCGGGTGTCCTGAGCTCCATCCCACTCATCCCACTGGGCCTGGGGTGCTCCAGGGCTGGAAAAAGGCTTTTCCCCTGAGCCATCTCCCATGGATGCCGTTCCCAGTTCGAGTGGTGTGCCACGTCCCGGTGAGTGGAAGGGCGGGAAGGGGAAGCACTGGGCAGGGGGGTGTTTGAGGAAGTGACAGGGAAGAGGGAAAGTGGGAAGGAGCAGGTCCTGGCTGGGCCCTGGGACGGGGTGTTGGCTGTTCTCTGCTGCATCCAAGCCCTTGGCAAAGCCCTGAGAGGAGCAGAAGTGTTGGTGTCCCGGGGTTTGGAGGGTGTTTGGGTTGGGGGTGAGTGCAGGAGAGAGACTGGAATCGACTTGCAAGGCTTTAATTCCGGGCTGAGTGGTGGGACATGGTGGCAGCACCATCTGGGTGCTGCCTCCTGAAGCCTTTTGGAGGAGGGTTTTTCTGGCTCCAGTCTTGACACGTTCCCATCGTGGTGCTGAACGGATCAACTCCTAAAGCAGATGTGCAGTGACTGTGGGACCAAGAGCTGCTTTAGCTCCAGAGGTGAAGGATGTGTCCCACAAACATTCTGGGCTTTAAAATAAACCACTGTCAGGCTAAAGAAACCCTCACTCAAATTCAGGAGCTGTTCCTCTGCTGACAGAGCATTTCCCAAAAGGGTTTAGGTTCAAGTGGAGTGAGATTTGTCCAGTTGTTCCCTCGAATTAATTTTTTTTTTCCTGCTTCATGTCTTCTGTTTTGCTAGAACTGGAAGGCAAACGGGAATTCAGGGCTGAAGGTTTTCATGGGTGGAATCTGTTTGGAAACTGATATGAAAAAGGAAAGCCATAGCAAGAGGAAAATACTTAGAGAATCCCAACCTGGTTTGGGTTGGGAAGGACCTTAAAGCTCTTCTCATTCCACCCCCCTGCCGTGGGCAGGGACAGGTTCCACTGGACCAGGTTGCTCCAGGGATTGAGTGAATGGCTTCAGGGAGGTAGTTCAGCCCTTGCTTTCCTTTTAAAGAGGCCGTGTGGCTGTTACTGGGTTAAAACACTGCTGTTGAAAGTACATCATGTCCTGCTGAGCAGCAGCTCTCAGCTGAGAAACTCTTGGTCAGGCCACGCTTGGGTTTTGTGGGAATTAAATGTTGGTGCTTGTTTTCCAGAGTACCTGACTCCAGCCTGCAAAAAGGTTTAGGGAAATTAGTGTTGGAGGCAGCAGTGGCAGGGTGGGTATTAAATAACCCCCAGGGGCTTTGGAGTGGAAATCAGCCCCCTCTTTGTTTATAAAATGCTCTGTGGGCACATGACACTCACACACACGCCCCCCAGACCTGTTTGCCGGGACAGCCTGACGCTGAATTTCCATCCCCACGGCATCACAGCGCGTATCCCGGGCTCTGGAATGAGAGCAAAGGTCAGTCCCTGCTGCCAGCACCCCGGACAAGGTGGAAAGGAGGCCAAAGTGCAGCGGGGCCCCGCGTGTCACGGGGCTGTGGAGGGGGCAGCACCTGTTGGGATGAGGTTTGCACTTCATTCTCCCTGCACCGGGTTTTCCTCCCTTCCTGCCGCTGGGAATGGGAATGTTCCATCCCTGAGGGTTTTATCAGAACCCTGCCCTGGCTGTCTGGCCGTGTGCCAGCCTCTGGATGTGTGTGTGGGGCTTTGGAAGTAACCCTTTTACTGGATTGCAGGCTGAAAGCAGCTTTGGCAGGGGTTCAGCCTGGATCTGCACTCAGGGATCCTCGGGGGGAAGTGGGAGGCTGCTGGGGTGGGGCTGGGGTTCATTCATGTGCCGAGAGATCATCAGGCCAAACACAATTCCCGAGCAGAGAGAGGAGATTTATGAGCCAGCAGCCTGTGGGCAGAACTTGTCCATCCCGTGCCCCGAGTGTTCCAAGGGCTCTGGGACAGGACACCTTTGGGTGCTCCTGGCTGTGGATCAGGCCCTGTGAGTCTCACACCACTGCCTGACAAGTCTGTGGAGCAAATCCTCCTGGAAGCTGTGCTGAGGCACATGGAAACAGGGAGGTGATTGGTGACAGCCAGTGGGACTTCGCTGAGGGGAAATCGTGCCTGACAAATTCAGTGTCCTGCGACGGGGTGAAGGTGTTGGTGGGTGAGGGAGGAGGGACTGAGCCGGGCACCAGGGCTTGGGCACAGCATTCCCACTGTCCCACACAACATCCTTGTCTCTGAGCTGGGGAGGGCAGGGGTTTGAAGGGCGGATAACTCGATGGGTGAGGAACTGGATGGTCACACTCAGAGCTGAGGTCAATGGCTTGGTGTCCAATGGACATGAGTGACAAAGAGCATTCCCTCAGCATTCCCTCAGGGGTTGGGATCAGGACCAGCATCTTTGTCAGGGATGTGGGCAGTGGGATCCAGTGCAGCCTCAGTGAGGTGCTGCCCCTGGGTCAGGGCAATCCCAGGCACAAAAACAGGCTGGGCAGAGAATGGATTTAGGGCAGCCCTGGAGAGAAGGACTTGGGGATGCGGATGGATGAGAGGCTGGGGAAGGAATTCCTGGCTGGGAGGATGGGGAGGCCCTGGCACAGGTTGGGCAGAGAAGCTGTGGCTGCCCCTGGATCCCTGGAAGTGTCCCAGGCCAGGCTGGACGGGGCTTGGAGCAACCTGGGCTGGTGGGAGGTGTCCCTGCCCATGGCAGGGGGTGGCACTGGATGATCTCTAAGGTCCCTTCCCACCCAACCCAGCCTGGGATTCTGATTATTTTGGTGATAGGTGGAGGCAGGAATAAGTATTTCGTTGGCTTTTTGTGACCTGCGAGTTGTACCCCCTGAGATCTGTGAGGTAATTCTTGGCCTGGCACCGTGTGCTGGCACCAGAGTGTGTTTTTACAGAAATACCCCAGAAGAGCTGTCTGTGTGTGCTCTGCAGGGAGTTTAACGTGTTTGAAAGTACCCAGAGTGCAGGAAGGGCCCCGGTTTGGCACGTGAAGAAGTGCTGGAATGAGCATCCTAAAGGCAAAACTCCCCTGTGCCACCTGCTCCTTCTCCTGCCAGTTCTTTGGGAAGAAGCCTTTGATTTTTTCCTGCTCTTATCCCAGCGTTGCTGGGAGCTGCAGTGTGGGATCTGTGCTGGGAGCTGCAGTGTGGGATCTGTGCTGGGAAGGTCACTGCAGTGTGGGATCTGTGCTGGGAAGGTCACTGCAGTGTGGGATCTGTGCTGGGAAGGTCACTGCAGTGGGGGATCTGTGCTGGGAAGGTCACTGCAGTGTGGGATCTGTGCTGGGAAGGTCACTGCAGTGTGGGATCTGTGCTGGGAAGGTCACTGCAGTGTGGGATCTGT